TGCATCGGGCTCTGACATCCGAAATCCCCGCGGTATTAATAGAACAGTAATTGCAGCACAGGGCTGGACTCGGGCAGCTGGCTCGTGGCCTCTCCCAGCGTCAGCACGGCCGTTCAGCGGAACCAGGGGCTGGCAACGGGACCTGGCAGAGCACGGGCTGCACGTGTCCAGGGCACAGCGGAGCGCTCGGCGTGCGGCTGTAGGGCAGGGACCGCCGTCCTGCTACAAAAACCCTGTGCTTCAGGTACTGTGATTTGCAGGGTTTGCACACAGTGCATGTGGCCCACAGTGCCGCAGCCCAGCTTGGCATGGCTGTGCTTTGCAGTGGTAGAAATCTGCTGTGACTGGCTCGACCCACTGCATGGATGCCTGTCCCTCCCCACATCCCGGGTGCTGCCACTTGATCTGCTTTTCACAGTTGCAGAGCTGGCACCTGTCCTCTCTCACATGCTTCAGTCTGTCTTGCGGCCATCAGGAAACAGCTCCTGGCGAGGAGCACGCGGCCGGAAAACCCTCTTCAGGCAGTCAGCAGGTGGGCGCCGGGCAGGGCTGGATGGAGGCAGCCCCTCTGTCCCTTGTGCTCACAGTCATCCCAGTACTGGCTCTGCCCATGGAGTAGGCGCCAGGTATTGGGGTCAGGGCAGGGGGAGACACAGCCGGATGATGGCTCAGAGCCACGAGGCTGTCTTCCCGGGTGAGTTATTACACCCTGATGCGGGCTGCCCTCACAGGTGTGGGGTTGGGAAATGGAGGGGGAGGATGCATCCTTGTTTGGAGCATCCTTGGGCTCTGTGGGGAGCTGACCATGGGGCTGGGACCAGGCTGCCCTTCCTCAGTGGGGCAGGGACTGCTGCCCGTGTGTGTGTGTGTGGTGTGTACAAAGGGGCCTTAATCTCAGTTGGGGCCTCTGGGCCCTGTCATAATGCAGAAATAATGAGTCTATTATTAAGTGCCCACAGTACTTCTTCACTCTGGTGGCTCGCCTCCAGCAGCAGGCAGAACCTGCCCCGCTTGAAGTGGATGTGTCATCATTTGCCTCAGCAAATCCAATCCCCTTTGATGATGGGCCAAACGCCCTTGGCACAAAGGGCCACAGCTGTGATACAGGCCCCACTTTTTTTTTCTTCCCTCTCTTCTCTTTGTTCCCAGCTCGTTGGCTCACCCTGGACCTGGGGTGAGCGCGCATTGGTGGGTGTGGGTGGATGCAGCCCTCCATCCCCAGCAGCAGGATGGAGCGCAGGGAGAGGGTCACTGCAGCACTCCTGGTTTCCCCCACTGCTGGGAGCAGGCTCAGCGCGAGGCTTGTTCCCAGCGTGGGCGGTGATAGGGAGTGCTCCAGCCCTTCCCTGGGGCTGAGCGAGCTGCCCTGGCCCCAGAGATGTGGGTGGGACTCTGTGCAGAGCTGCGTGTCCGAGACCCCAAGCATGCAGGCATGCAGAGTGGTGGAAACTGTGGGAGCTGTGGACTGTGCAGTGTCCTGTCAGTGCTGCAAGCACCTTCTCCACACTTCCTGTGCCCAGAGCTTCTGCTGTGGATGCACCCAGGGCTGTCCCTTGCCCAGGAGGAAAAGAAGGGCAGTGGGGTTGGCTGAAACCTTGAGGAGAGGAGAGCAGCGTGCCCTGGGAAAGGCATCGAGGGTCTGACCCCATGCCCGGCGCCCTGTGTGGCTCCACTTTTGTGTACACGAAACGCTCGTCAGCGGGAAAAGTGCAACCTCAGGTTCTCTCCCACAGGCAGCTCTTTGTTCCCAGATAAAGGGCCCTGCACCAAAGGCCCTTTGTGCCGCTGCTTAGAACGGTTCTGGGATTAATTGTGCCGATAGGTGCTTGAATGGGGAGTGCACAAGGCCGCCCGCTCCTGCCTTCATTATCTCAAAACTGAGGAGGAAATTAAAATGTACGAGAGATGCCCCTTTTGGTGGCTTTTTGACTAGCCGGCAACGACCGGAGCTGCACGCTGATCCTGCTGTCCCCCGTCAGCACCTCTGCTCCCAGTGCCCTGATGGAGCCACTGAGGGTGGGATGGGATGGGATGGGACGGGACGGGACGGCTGCTGGGGTTCGGCTCCTGGGCGCAATGGCGCGCGTGGCTCCCAGGGTGTTGCAGAACAGGTTCCTGTGTTTGCAGCAGGGCTGCATGGGTGTCTTTATTAACTTTCTTCCCTTGCCTTCTTCCAGGATGCTCTGTAGTGTGCTGGCTGCCTTCTCCCCGTTGGGGCAAGGATCTGGCGTCGTACCCTGCTAGCACATCCTGATAAAGGCGGCAGTCCCCACGTTCAAAGGCGAGAGCACTTAAATTGGAGCCGGTTGGTGGAGACGATTGAGTCTTCCCCAGCGGCTTCATCTTGAAAGAATTTTCCCTTCTGGCTCAGGCAGCGCTAAGCACAAAGCTTGCCATCACTGCTGTGCATGTCTGCCGCTGAGCCGCGCAAGCCAGGGGTTCTCAGGGCCCCTTTAGGAGAGCCAGAACATTTTGCTGGCCATGGAGCGTGCATTCCTTAGCCCCTGCTTCATGAGAGGTCCTGGGTCCAGGTGGGCTCATACCAGGGCTTCGTGTGCCCTGCAAGCTGCTGAGGACCCTGCAAAAGGGACATGGGAACTATGTTCTTTGCAGCTTGAGGTGCACAAAGAAGATTTGGCAGGCAGGGAAGAGGCAGCCAGAGCTTATTGCACAGCCCCATCTGAGAAGCGAGGCTCTTTCCCTGCCCTTGGATCTGTCTCTGCCATAGAAATCCTGCTTTGGTGTGGGGGTGGCTGTGGATTGCTATGCTTGCCAAATTCTAGCAGGGATTGTGCTCTCCTGAGCTCCTTGGCCTGGCTGGAGGTAAGCAGAGGACAACTCCCCAGCAGTGATAAAGTGGGCCTGGGGGAGACTTCCCAAAGCTGCAGAAACTGGGAAACAATTTCCCGTTGACTAATGGAACCAGGCACTCCTCAGCATGCAGGATTTGGAAGGCTTTGACTCACAGCTCAGTGGGCCCTGATGCCATTCACATCTCTCCAAAGCACCTGCAGACCTGCCAGGAGCACTCCAGCACCATGTCACGGTGCCCAAATCTCCCTGGATACCCTAGCTCTGTGTGACAGTGTGTGCCCACTAGGTGAGGGGTGGGTACTCAGCACATCCCAGTACTTGCTGCAGAGAGGCCACCAGTTTGGCTCTGCTGTGCAGAGAAATCATTGTAGCAGCTTTAAGGGCACAGTGCAGCTCTGGCTGGGCTCAGCAGGCAGCCCTGGGGCCATCCGCTGCAATCTTCATGTGCTGTGGGGCTGCAAGGAGAGGCCGGGGGGGAGGGGGGAAGGCTGCTGACCCTGTCCAGCCCCGTGGCTGCAGGAAACCCTGCTGCCCTCCATGCTTGGCCTCATTTCCTTTAGTTGCGTTGCCCAGTTGTTTTATTCCTATTATTTTCCTCCCTGTTCTCACCGTGTGGTTTATGTGGCTCTCGTGCCAGTGGGGCCGGCTCAGCCCTGTTGTTTTCTTTCCCCTCCTTGCTGTTCCGAGGGCAGATGCTGCCAAATGAGGATACGGCGTGTCCCAGCCACGCAGGGAAGAGCAGTGCCGGAGGGGACCTTTGGTGCCGTGGGGTGTGGAGGCTGTGCAGGGGTTTCCCACACACTGTGGGTGTATTTGAGAACCAGAGTGCCCACAGGACCCCCGTGCGATGTCCCCATCCTATCGTGGAGCCCTTGGCTGAATGCATCCCACACTCCGTTACAGCCTGGGTCTCCTCTCCAGGACTTGGCAGCCCTGCACTGTCAGCACGCGCTTGGCTCTGCTCCGCCGCCGGCGCTGCGTTCCCGGCCCCCACAGCACTACTGTGCCCTTATTAGGACAGCTGGCGCTCAGGGCCAGCCCTGGGAGCAGTGCGGGTGGCTCTGCTCCCCATCCTCAGTGCAGCACTGGGGCTCCAGGGTGCTTAGGATGGGATGTCTCATCCTTCGCACTGAGCGTGCTGCTCTGTCCCCTGCCCCACTGCCTTGGGGTTGTGTGCTGTTTGCTGGCGCGGCTGTGAATGCCACACTGTGTTGCTGGCTGCTGCCCCCAGGGTGGGACGCAGGAGGAAGGAATCCTCCAGCCAGGATTCATCCCCATAACGTGTGAACACTTCCTTCCTCCTCTGTGCTTCCTCCTCAGCTGGGTCAGCCGGTGCTTTTCCTGAAGTGGAAGAGAAGGTGGAATTGCCCCTTGCTCCTAGGGCTGAGCCGCTGTGCTGGGGATGAGCGCACTCTGAGCAAGCAATGGCTCTATGCCCTTCGTCTCTATGAGGGATGGACAGATGGCCCTCAGGGAGCTGTGACGAGAGCAGCAGGGCTCATGCCTGCAGCTGGATGGGGGAAGCGTCCTTTGGGGTTGCTGGCCAGAACCTGCAAGCGCACTGGATTGTGTTGCCCAGCTCTGGGGTTTTACTTCATGCTTGCAGCCCTTTGCCTTCCGGCTCCCCTGGGCAGGAGGAACCCAAGCCTCCCACCACTATCCCAGCCTAGACGTGGGGACATGGAGGGAGTAGCGTCATTCCCTGTCGTTGCATTTCTCTCCTGGTTTTTGTGTGCAGCAGTGCTCACTTGGAGCTGCAGCTCTGCCTGGGATTAGCGACAGCTGCCTGCAATTGCAGCTCTTCCCAGACAAGCGTCTCGCTCCCCCAAGGCTGGGGCTGGGGCTGTTTGGGGAATGCTGTCGGGGTGGTTTGTCTTGTAGTCTGCTCCAGGAATGTTGGCCAGACGGTCAAATTCTTCTCCCCTCTTGTAAAATGAGTGATGTGGGGCGTCTCTGGGAGAGCAGCCTGCCAGTCCCTCCTTCTCTGGATAAACCTGCCTGGCCCGCACCGCCCTGCCATGGGAACGGGCCCTTTCAACCTCAGCCACAGTAAATACGTGCCCTGCCAAAGCACAGGGGGAGGTGCACAAGGGGCCGGGAGGTGGGGGGCTGGCGGCCGGTGCTGGGGGTGGCAGCGCGTCCCCATGCCACCTGGCCGGCTGCTCCGCAGGGACGCCTCGCTCTTCCTGTTCTGACAGCAGAGCAGAAATCTGGAGTCTGTCTGCGCCGCTCCCCCTCCTCCCACCACGTCTCACCCCCCAAGTTGCTGTTTTCCACAGAAATGTCAGCCTAAGCTCTTTTCTCCCCCACTCCTCCTGTTTTTTTCCCTTGAATCTTGGCCTTCATCTCCAATTACTTCTCTCCTTCCTCCCTCTCTCTCTCTAGAGACCCTGATGGACACGAAGTGGGTGACCTCAGAGCTGGCATGGACAACCCATCCAGAGACGGGGGTAAGTCTGAAGCTGGTCCTGCCCCCAACTGCTACGGGGTCCTTGGGGTCGTGGTCCCTTGCCCACACTTCCCCTTGCCCTCCCCTGCTTCCCTTGCTTTCTGAATTCCATAGCTCCATGCTGACTCCCAGCCGCTGGAGCAGTGGTCCCTTGGTCACTATGAGGGTCCCCTGGTCACCCTGTAGGGCTGGGGAGGCAGACGTGCTCCCCATTATCTGCTGCCCTACCCGGTGCCAGGGTCTGATGCGCTGCTTCTCTCTTGCAGTGGGAAGAGGTCAGTGGTTACGACGAGGCTATGAACCCCATCCGCACGTACCAGGTGTGCAACGTGCGGGAGGCCAACCAGAACAACTGGCTTCGCACCAAGTTCATTCAGCGCCAGGACGTTCAGCGTGTCTACGTGGAGCTGAAATTCACCGTGCGAGACTGCAACAGCATCCCCAACATCCCTGGTTCCTGCAAAGAGACCTTCAACCTCTTCTATTATGAGTCGGATACGGATTCTGCATCTGCTAATAGCCCTTTCTGGATGGAGAACCCCTATATCAAAGTGGATACAATTGCTCCGGATGAGAGCTTCTCCAAACTGGAGTCCGGCCGTGTGAACACCAAGGTGCGCAGCTTTGGGCCGCTCTCCAAGAATGGCTTTTACCTGGCTTTCCAGGACCTGGGGGCCTGCATGTCCCTCATCTCCGTCCGGGCTTTCTACAAGAAATGTTCCAACACCATCGCTGGCTTTGCTATCTTCCCGGAGACCCTAACGGGGGCTGAGCCCACGTCGCTGGTCATTGCACCAGGCACCTGCATCCCCAACGCAGTGGAGGTGTCTGTGCCCCTGAAGCTGTACTGCAACGGTGACGGCGAGTGGATGGTGCCTGTGGGAGCTTGCACGTGTGCTGCAGGGTACGAGCCAGCCATGAAGGACACCCAGTGCCAAGGTAAGGGCTTGGTACGATCTCTCTTGGCTCCTCCATTGCACTGCATGTGTGCACTCATAGGAGGTGTTGAGCTAGGTCTCATTTTGAAGGCTCGGGAGCTTAGGTGGCTCCGTAAAGATGGAGCATGTGTGCTGTCTCAGGACTGGTCTGTGCTTCTTGATGTCTGGAAGCTTTAAAGCTTTTGTGGTCCATACCGGCGTAGCTTACCGGTGCCAAGCTGGGGTGCATCTGCTGAGAGCTGAGATATGGGATGTGTCTGCACGGCATGGTCTGCAGCGCCATGTGGCTCAGGGGACGTAGCAAGTCCTCGTGTGTCTCCAACACTTTCCTCTCACCCCCGCTGCCGTGACCGATGTCTCTGCCCTCCCTCCTGCAGTGTGTGAAGGTGCAGGTGGTCGGGGTGAGTGCCGGCTCCCGGCAAGTGAGATTTCACGCTGCCTGTGTGGAGGCATTCAGAACGCCGGCGGCGAGCAGGGCCCCACTGAGCTGGCTGTGGGAGGCCCCCTGCCAGAGCCGCAGGCTTGCAGCGAGCCTTCCTTCCTTGGAGGGAAGGAGAAAGCATCCTGCCTGCAGATGAGTGGCACTGGAGAGTTGGTGTTGTTGTTTCACCCCAGGGAGGGAATGCTGATTTGGAAAGATCAGTGTGGATGGGTGTAGTGCTCGCTTTTTGGGGTTATATTGCCTTAGGGAGCTGCCTCCAGCACCAAGCACCCTACCCTAGAGCAGGACCCCGCTGCTCCCTTTGGATGGAGGCACGGACAACGGGGCGCCAGGGTGGGTGCCTTGTGCTTGCAGATGATGGGCTGCTTGGCGCCGAGCCCTCGCTCTTGGCGGGGGCAGTGGGATTTGGGATGTCTATGTGACCGTAGCGACTGCTTGCAGGGAGCTTAGTCTCTGAGCACCATTGGTCCCAGAGCATCCACCGGCACCAGGCGCCCACTGTTTGGTTTGTTTTGAGGTCCCTGCTCCTGGGAAGCTGGCTCCATGTTGCTTGAGCTGGGAGATCCTACAGCCCCTATGGGGTGTTTGCTGTTCCTCAGCAATGAGAGGGGCGTGGGGTACCACTTCACACCAGCCCTCGTGACTCCCCATTTGGAGGAGGCAGCAGAGGCAGTGCTGCATACAACATCCCCCCAGGAGAGGCAGGGAGAGGAGCCTCATCCTTTGCCCATCCTGCAGCCCATGGGCAGTACTTTTGGGTTCACCTTGCACAGGGAAGCTGCAGGCATGACCCCATCCAGCGCCCATCCCCTGCCCTTCGCTGGGTTGAAATGGCGTCCGCACGTTTCTCTGGGAAACTCGGCACCACGTTCGTATGATCACATTTTCCACCATATGACCGTGTGTTTTAAGTGGAAACAGCTGAGGAAGGGCTCGCATAACCCAGCTCCATTTTCTGCTCTTTGTTGGCTGCTTCAAGCGGCATTTCAGCCTTTATTCCACCGTTTTGCAGCTCACAGCTCACTCTGGCATTACTCCTGCGGGTAGCTGATGCATGGAGGCAGCAGGACGGAGCCCCCCGTGCCATGTTGCACCCTGTCCCAGCACCGCTGCCTGGACTGCGGAGCTCAGAGTGCCGTGAGGTGCCAGATGGCATTTTAATAAATAACAATACTGCGTTAGTGCTTAGATGGGATAAGCCCTGTTGTAAATCTCCTCCGTTCCCGAGCCTTTCCATGGCCTTTGAAGCTCTCCTCCTCCTCCTCCTCTTTATCTGCACCCAGCGCTGGGATTAGGCTCCTCATTCAGACCTGTGACAATACTCCTTGGATCCCAGTCCCGCGGGATGAGCCCGGCTGAAGGCAGCTCCTTGGGCACGCTTTGTCATGCGAGCTGCGAGGCTGGGATCTGCCGCTCTGCTCAGGAGTTGCCACAGCATTGATTTGGCATCTCATTCTCAGCCTCATTATCTTTATTTAATTAGCACACGGCCCTTCTGGGGGTTGTGCCGCTTCCCACACACTCCGTGCAGAGATGCATGGAGGCAGCGCTCACAGGAGCGGAGCCCGTGGCCGGGGTGGGACCATGGGACGTGTGCCCTCATCCCCTCTCACTCTGCAGTGCCCCACATCACTTTGGGGCTTTGCACATGGTGCTTACAGGCCAGCAGTGGGATTTCCCAGGGAGCAGTCGGATCTCAGAGCTTCGTGAGAGCACTGCCAGCAGAGCTCCAACCCTTTCCTTTCGGTCCTCTCCTGCCATACAGGGTGTGCACGGCAGTGCTGCTGCCTATTTGGGTGCTGTCAGCAGGTGATAGCAGGTCAGGCTACGGCCAAAGTGTGGGGTTTGTCAAAATGCATTTTCCTCGCGATCAGTGACTAATGGGAACATCACCACGAATTAAAACAAAAAAAAAAAACAACAACAAAAAACGCCAAGCCAGCATTGCATTCACCAACTGTTTGCAGCTTTGCATTGCAACACGGGGTTGCTGCATGAAAACCAGGAAGTGAAACTGCCTTCTATTAATTGGCCGGGATTACAGATCAAAGGCAGTGCAGGCAGAGCAGCGCTGGCGTGCAGAGCTGGGCAGCTCCACAATGGGCTGCTTGTACCACGGCACGGAGATCTGCCGTCCTGCCTGTGACCCACTGTGGCTCTGGGGGCACTTTGCTCATTGAAAATTCCTCCTTTTTTTGACACAAAATATCATTTTCCCCACCTCTTACTCAGATGCCACTGCTCAAACCCCAAAGGAGTCTTCCCTTCCTCTGACCTTTAAGTTTATTCCATTCATTTCTGGGCTGCACAAGTGTAAAATATTTCTACCTAAAGGGTGTTTTAAAAGAAAAATCAAGTGCCTTTTAAGAGAGACTTAAAACATGAGCCACCGCCTTGCCAGGGGCTGGGCTGCTTGCACGGCTCCCATCCATTTGCAGCTGCTTACAGAAGAGCAAAGGCAGTGATCAGCATAGGTCCATGAAGCACACATGGTCCTGGGAAGAGCTGGTAGCTGCCTGTGGGGGAAGGACAGGGCTGCTGGGCAGAGGGATGCAAGCGGTGTCATTCATCTGCACTCAAGGCTTTCTGCTTCAGTCCTGCAGGGAGGGAAATAGCCAGGATGGGAAAGCAGTGGGATGGGGAAGCAGCTGAGGGGTTACGTTGGGGCAGTTCGGAGCCGCTCCATGCATGGGAGGGGACTGCAGGTTTCGGGGGATGCTCGGTGTGTGGTTCCCCCGTTCCATGCAGTCATCACTGGGGTGAGTCACCGTGCTCTCGATGGTGCTTTTGTTTCGGTGTTTTTCGGCTCCCTCCCTTGGATTTTGCTCACGGGGTGGGGACAACACGGGGGAAGAGTGCAGGAGCAGCACTGCAGGATCCGGCTGTGGGACTGATGTGCACCAAAAGAAGCAGCCTCCTGTACAATTCCCCCCCATTGCTGGGCTGCAGTCTCTGCTGCCATCCAGTAGCCCCTCTGCAGAGCTCTGCTCGCTTCCCTAACCCGTTATCCTGTGGCTGTCAGCAGCTGTCATGTTCTCCCGGGAGGTGACCGCAGCCCAGTGCCGGGAGATGTGATCTGTGTGCAGAGGTTATGGGCTGCTATTTGATTTGAGGATGCTTCAGCGGGAAAAAAAGGGCAGATGCAGAGCTGCGGGTGGAAGCGAGGAGCTCAGCCTGGCGGCTTCGTGCAGGAGGAGATGACACAGATCCGCGGGGACCTGGGATCAGCTTTCAGCTCAGTTACGGCTTCAAACGTGGCTGAGAGCTGTCACGCTGCCACCGAGGTCCTTATGCTCTGATTTATTAAACAGAGTTGAGGCACGGCGGTGCAGCTGGGCCTCGCCTCCCAGCCTGCTTTTCCCCTTCCCAAATGGGTGGCAACGAGGCCAGCACTGCAAAGAGGAGGAGGAGGAGGCAAGGAGGAAGGTCTCTCGGAGAATAGGGGTGGCTGTGGGCTCATCAACCCAGGGCCTGGCTGTGTGCTGGTGCACTCCCAGCCCATGCCTGGTCTTTTAAGCTCCACACAAGCACTGCTCCAGTTTCACCCCTCTATTATTTCAGGGGGGTTTGTCCCCGACAGATCCGGGCTTTTGTCCATAACCAAAGCATGTTTGGCAGCTCTCGAAGCCCAGAGTGTTCCTGTCCAAGAGGTTTCAGTCATCTCTCATTCCTCAGCAATCTGGTTCCTGATGTGTGAAGCTGCATCCACCCAGTTTTAACTGCCTTCAACTGCGGCTGGGCTGGGCCCGTGCGTGCCGGGGCTGCTCCGGCACCTTGGGCTGCTCCCTCCATATCTCAGGGGGATGGAGCACTGCTTTCATCCCTTCCTTTGGGATGATTCCTTTTGGGCTGCCCAGAATGGGCTAAACTTGAGTTTCTAAAGGGTGGATGCAGAGATCCAAAGGGTAGACCTCTGTCAGGCCAGTGAGCCAGGCTGTAGGGCCCGTCCTGTTCTCTTTGAAGGGCTCTGGCCATGAAGTTAGGGTGGCTCCAGTCCCTGCAGTGCCCAGGTGCAGTGACCCACAGCACCCCGGTGCCGGAAGGCTTCCATGCAGGGTGTCAGGAGATGGTTCATAGCAGGAAACTTCCGCTCGCCACGGCTCTGTGAAGCAAGTTGAAGCTCCTTGTGTTTAGGGTGATGTCATCAGGAAGGCATGGGGCAGGAGTTTCCACTTCAGGGACTGCCGGGACGGCCGCATGCCTCAGGGCCAGGCAGATAGGGCTGTGGGGGTCTCACTGATGTGGGTATGGGGCAGGAGATGTTGTGGGTCCCGTGCTGGGAAGATTCCACATCCCGATTGTCACAGGGCTGCACTAAATGAGGCTATTTGAAGGCACAGGGTGATTTCCCAGTGCCGTTCTGCTCCTTGGCCTGAGTGCTGCTAATCCCTTCACGTGCCCCTCGTTAGGGCCGAGCGCCCGCCGTGCGAGCGGGGCCAGCTCCAGGGCTCCTCCAGTGTGCATCGGAAGCGGGGGCAGGAATGTTGTAATCTGGTTCAGCACACAGAGCTGGAGCCAGAGCGGAGGTGCCGCCGCCACAGGCTGAGAAGTGGTTCAAGTGGCCAGGGTGGGAGATTCGGGGTGGGGTTGGCACTTCAGGGCGACGGGGGCCTCCCGTAGGGAACGGGCTGAGCACATCCTTCCCTGACCTGTGCCTCCAGGAACGGAGCCTGGGGCTGGGTGTGGGCAGGAGGGAGCCGATGGAGCATTGCTGAGTGCCCTTCGTTAATGCGGGTTCATTCTCCCTTCCTCCAGCATGCGGCCCGGGAACGTTCAAATCCAAGCAGGGCGAGGGCCCCTGCTCCCCCTGCCCTCCCAACAGCCGCACCACCTCGGGAGCAGCCACGGTCTGCATATGTCGCAGCGGCTTCTTCCGAGCAGACACCGACCCCGCAGACAGCGCCTGCACCAGTGAGTGCCATGAGGGTGGGATGGGAGCCGGGGTGGGAGGAACGCCACGGGGCAGCCATCCCTGACATCCCCCGTGCCTCTCCAGGTGTGCCCTCAGCCCCACGCAGCGTCATCTCCAACGTGAATGAGACGTCGTTGGTGCTGGAGTGGAGCGAGCCGCAGGACGCGGGCGGGCGGGATGACCTGCTCTACAACGTCATCTGCAAGAAGTGCAGCGTGGAGCGGCGGCTGTGCACGCGCTGCGACGACAACGTGGAGTTCGTGCCGCGCCAGCTGGGCCTCACTGAGCGACGCATCTACATCAGCAACCTGATGGCCCACACCCAGTACACCTTCGAGATCCAGGCGGTGAATGGCATCTCCAGCAAGAGCCCCTACCCTCCCCATTTCGCCTCCGTCAACATCACGACCAACCAGGCAGGTCAGTGCTGTCCCACACCACTATCTCTAATCCCCTGAGTGAATTCTCCTGTCCATTTAAACACACGTCTGGAAGGCATGTGGTCTGAACGCATGCAGGCAGGGAAGGGCAGGCTTGGCAGATGATCTGGTGAGCTCCTAGACCCACCCCGGAGAGATGCTGTGCCTGCTGCAAAAGGAGGAAGAAGGCGATGAGATTTCTCCTCCCCTGGGCCTGGGAAGGCTCAGCACCAGCCCAAAGCTTCTCAGCCAGCTGAGTGCTGCGCCGTTCTCTTCTTCCGCCCCACCTGGCCCAGCTCCAGCATGCTGGTAATCTCCAGCCACCACACTGATCTGATTTCACAGGTCTCACTGGTGGGGTGGAGTGCAGAGCTCCCTGCAAGAGGAAGAGCACAGGGAACTCTGCTTTGGATCCACAGGGTCCTTCCTTGGGCCAGTTTGCAGCTGTGTACAGTATGAAGTGTCAGCTCAGTGCTCTGAGCAATTCTTTGGTCCCTTGTCATCTTGTCTGCAAGACTGCATCTCCTTCAGAGGCAGTCCCAAGGCTTTTCAGCTTTTTTACTGTGGTTATCTAAGCAGGTCGTGAGTTCCTCAGGGGTCCATCCTGTGTAGGACCTCTGGGGACACACTGTGCACAGCCTGGCACAGCCAAATTTCCTCTCTTTCCCACTCCCAGCTCCATCTGCCGTGCCCACCATGCACCTGCACAGCAGCACTGGAAACAGCATGACACTCTCATGGACTCCCCCAGAGAGGCCCAACGGCATCATTCTTGACTATGAAATCAAGTACTCTGAGAAGGTAAAGCAGAGAATCTCTTCCTTCTCCCTGGCCTTTCTGGCCCGGAGCCCCACAGTGACAGGGTGACACGTCACGAGGTGACACCTGCATGTCTCCCTTGCAGCAGGGCCAGGGCGATGGCATTGCCAACACTGTCACCAGCCAGAAGAACTCGGTGCGGCTGGACGGGCTGAAGGCCAATGCCCGGTACATGGTGCAGGTCCGGGCGCGCACAGTGGCTGGATACGGCCGCTACAGCCTCCCCACCGAGTTCCAGACGACTGCAGAGGATGGTAGGTGCCAGCATGGGACTGCCTCCATCCCCCAGCCCTCCTGCACATGCCTCTTCTCCAGCCTGACTTCTCATTCCTGCTTCTCCCTGCACCAGGCTCCACCGGCAAGACTTTCCAGGAGCTGCCTCTCATCGTGGGTTCGGCCACCGCGGGACTGCTGTTTGTCATCGTGGTGGTCATCATCGCTATCGTCTGCTTCAGGTAGTGGCTTTAGGGGATTGGTGGCTTGCAGTGAGGTGGGGGCCGCTTGCGGGCAGAGTTCCAGCAGCTCCAGTCTGAGAGCAGAGGGCTGGACCTGCTGCCCTGGGATCCTGCTGCCGGACGAGGAACTCTGGCTTTGGCTGCCTGTAGTGGGATTTGGAATCTGGCAGTGAATGTCTTTGCCCCATCAGGAAAGGGATGGTTACTGAACAACTCCTCTCGTCTCCTTTGGGCAGGAAGCAGCGCAACAGCACAGATCCTGAGTATACAGAGAAGCTGCAGCAGTATGGTGAGTGTGAGTCCAGCACATGTGCTTTCTCCTGAGTCCTGCCCCACGCACAAGCGAAGGTGCAGCCTTTGCTACTTGAGAACCATGCCAGGCAGGTGTGGCATGCCATCCATGTCGTATCCCCCATGGTGATGATTCCTCTGCCCTTGCAGTCACTCCTGGGATGAAGGTCTACATTGACCCCTTCACCTATGAAGACCCCAATGAAGCTGTCCGGGAATTCGCCAAAGAGATTGATATCTCCTGCGTCAAAATCGAGGAGGTCATTGGAGCAGGCAAGTCCCAGGGCTGGGCACAGCATCTGCTGAGAACACAGCCTGTCCCCAGCTGCCTGCTCATCCCCTTCTCCCCCACAGGGGAGTTCGGTGAGGTGTGCCGCGGGCGCCTGAAGCTGCCTGGCCGCCGCGAGATCTTTGTGGCCATCAAGACACTGAAGGTGGGCTACACAGAGAGGCAGCGGCGGGACTTCCTGAGCGAGGCCAGCATCATGGGCCAGTTCGACCACCCCAACATCATCCACCTGGAGGGTGTGGTGACCAAGAGCCGCCCCGTCATGATCATCACAGAGTTCATGGAGAACTGCGCTCTCGACTCCTTCCTCCGGGTGAGCAACTGGTCCCACCTCGAGCTTCTCCATCCCTCTGTATGGTCACACTGACATCCCCAGGGCTAAGATATGCATAGACATCTCTGGGTGGAGAAACCAGGATAGCCCTAGAGTGGAAGAAAGGTGGTAGCACACAGAGATCCCTTCCCAGTCCATTCAGGGTGTTAAAACCCCTCTGATCTCTCTCTTGGCAGCTGAATGATGGGCAGTTCACAGTCATCCAGCTGGTGGGGATGCTGCGAGGCATCGCTGCCGGCATGAAGTACCTCTCAGAGATGAACTACGTGCACCGGGACCTGGCTGCCCGCAACATCCTGGTCAACAGCAACTTGGTCTGCAAAGTGTCAGACTTCGGGCTGTCCCGCTTTTTGGAGGATGATCCGGCCGACCCCACCTACACCAGCTCCCTGGTATGGGATGCTCATGGGGATCTGCAGATCTGGGGACGGGAGGACAAAGCAGGTGTGTCCTCAATAACAGTGCTGTGTATTGCAGGGAGGCAAGATCCCCATCAGGTGGACAGCTCCTGAGGCCATCGCCTACCGCAAATTCACGTCGGCCAGCGACGTGTGGAGCTACGGCATCGTCATGTGGGAAGTGATGTCCTATGGGGAGCGACCCTACTGGGACATGTCCAACCAGGATGTAAGTGTTCACCCAAGAGTGAGGAGCTCGGGATCGCCAGCAGGGACCTAGCACGCTCAAAGCCTGCTTCTGTGCACCTCTCTTATGCAGGTGATCAACGCGGTGGAGCAGGATTACCGCCTGCCACCCCCCATGGACTGCCCCACAGCGCTGCACCAGCTGATGCTGGACTGCTGGGTGCGGGACCGCAACCTGCGGCCCAAGTTTGCACAGATCGTCAACACGCTGGACAAGCTGATCCGCAATGCTGCCAGCCTGAAGGTCATTGCCAGCGTCCAGTCTGGGTCAGTGGCATCCCCAATCCTTGGGAGTGCAGAGGCATTTAGGGCTGAGGACATAAGACAGCAGGGATAAGGCATCTCCCTGCTTCCATGTGCACCCCTGCACCCCCTGCTCCCTGTGACCCATGGCTCTCTTGCCTTGCAGTGTCTCCCAGCCCCTCCTGGACCGCACCGTGCCCGATTACACCACCTTCACCACCGTGGGAGACTGGCTGGATGCCATCAAAATGGGACGGTACAAGGAGAACTTCGTCAACGCCGGCTTCGCCTCCTTTGACTTGGTGGCGCAGATGACAGCAGAGTGAGTCCCTGCTTGTGGGACTGGGGCGAGTGGTCTTGGGTGGATTGCATGTGGGGTTGTCCTATGGGGTTAAGGTCTGTGAGTGAGGATCTGGTGGTAAAGATGGTGTGAGAGGGATGCCGGAGAGCTGCAGTGAAGATGGGATCCCTTGGTGCACCTAGATGGGGCAGGGCCATGTGCCAGTTGGTACGGAGGTGGGCAGATCACCAAATCCATCTTCCTCTCCTTGCAGGGACCTGCTGAGGATAGGAGTGACGCTAGCAGGGCACCAGAAGAAGATCCTGAGCAGCATTCAGGACATGAGACTGCAGATGAACCAGACGCTGCCGGTTCAGGTTTGACCGCAGGGGACTCTGCATTGGAACGGACTGAGGGAACCTGCCAACCAGGTTCTGTTTGCGGTGCAGCCCGGCTTCCCGATTTCCCCTTCCCGTGGCGCTCCTCTGCCTCGGACGCTCGCCGGGGACAGGCTGGGCCGGGCCACCCTTCCCTGGATCGGAGGCACTCGTGCCAAGAGGGAGCCCAGCTTTTCGTCCCGTGTCCCGCAGCGGCGAGGCAGTGACGCAGTCTTCATATTGAAGATGGATTATGGGACGGAGATGGCGCATCCCGCTTCCCGCCCTGTCTCAGTGCTCATCAGTTTGAAGAGATGTTCTGCTTCTTGGATTTCTTTACACCCCGGTTTTTCCCTCTCAAGTCCTCACTTTCCCCTATCCCTGATGCCACAGACTGTTGACCCGTCCACTGAGTCCGTCAGATGCTCCGAAGCCTTCACCGAGCCCGGTACCCTCGTGGAGACGGCGCAAGGGACAGGGCTAAGGCCCAGACAATCACTCCACCCCTCCGCACAAGGGTCCTCACTGGGACGTGTCTGAAGGGGAAAGGCTCTGCTCCCTTTTTGGCTTTGCACGCCAGAACCCGAACCCCGTGAGATTTACTATGCAGGGAGTTAGGCAAAAAAAAAAAAATAATAATAATAATAGAGAGAGATATATTAAAAAAAAAAAAAGAGGGTGCAGAAAGGGGACCCTCTTGGTTCTCGTGGCTGGCTCTGGACTGCAGAGTGAGGCCATCAGCACGTTTGCACAGGGACCCTCCAGCCCCCGAAGCGGGGCCGGGAGCGGGGTCAGGGCCACACGGAGGCCTGGCCTCCCCCAGCCTCCTGTTTTATGCAGAAGGAGCGGGTGCCGCTCCTGCCACACGCTGTGATTGCTGCCAAAAGACTCACTCACCTTCCTCTGACTTCACTGCAGCCCGCTTCCTCCGTGCTGAGGGCGAGACTCCCAGCGTGCGTGAGTGTGCGTGAGTGTGTGCGTGTGTGCGTGAGTGCTGGCCGGCAGGACTGTGCGAGGCAATGGGCAGAATAAAGGCAATAAGAATTTTATCAGCGTTTCCTTTGCTCGATCGCTCTCGCTGCACCAGCACGGGGGCTGCTGCCTCCATCACTGCCTGTGGCTGCAGCTTCCCATGTCCCTGTGTGCCCATAACCCCTGCTGTAACACCGACGCTCTCACGGGGTCCCCATGGATGCCTATGGGCACTGATGTGTGCCAGCAGGGAGGTGCCAAGCAGATGGGTGCCAGCCCTGTGCCTTCCCGTGGGGCACTCGGGCTTGGAGTCTCAAGGCACAGCCAGCCCCAAAACTCAATCTGGAGCTGCTGATAGTGCTTTTTCCCATTCCCTCCTCGTGCTGTACTCGACCTGTGGGACTGCAGCCCCATGAGCGCAAACTGAGCGAGGCCAGCCCCGACCCACAGCACATGGGGAGCACAGCACACCACAGGGTTTGGCCGCAGCCTGCTTTTCCCACCATGCATGGGAGTGTTGCAACTGCCTCCGTGAGTCACAGATGCCAAACGGGAGCTGCTGAGCCGGGTGCAAACTCACCCGCTGCTGCAAAGTGCATGGCAAGGGAAGGATCCCGGGCTGCTGACATGTGGTCCCCGTGCCCTCGGCCCCTCCAGCATCCTTCCCCAGGGCTCTGATCCCGCCCTGTGTGCCAGACCCCGCTTGCTCCACCAGCAGTGCAGTGGGCTGAGGCTCCCCGCGGGGTGCCCCCCTCCCTGCCAGGCGCCGCACAGCAGGTGCTGTTTTTCCCCTTTCCTCAACGCTCACCTGCCCTTGGGTTTCTCATTAACCCCGTCCTCCTCCACAGGGAACAGCAAGCAGCGGGAGGGCAGCACGGCTCTGCGCAGCACAGCAACGGCTGAAGGGCTCTGCGCCACCTGCCCGCACCCCTGGAGCTCCACGTGCCCGCTCCATCCCTGCAGTGGGGATCCCAAAGCCCTGTTCCCCACTGCAGCCACTGCTGCTTGCTCCTCGCTTGGCTTTGCTGCTTTGGGGGGGTTCAGCTCACAGGGTTTGCTCCCGAGGTATTGCATCCCGTGCTGTGCCCGCCACTTCCCTTCATACAAATGTGTACAGAGAGAAAGAAAGGTGCATTTAACAGGAAAAGAAAGCAAAGGCGACCACCGGCAGCAGTGCGGATCAATGCGAGCGTGCGTTTGTACAAATATTTTTTAACTAAAGGTTAAAAAAAAAAAAAAAAGACCTTTTTTTTTTTTTTTCAATTAAATTATTTAAGGAATTTTATGGAGCTTTGTGATGCCCGCGTGGTTCTTGTGGGGTCGGGGTGGTGGGTTGTGAGTCTGTGACCGCCCCGTGGGGATGCTCTGCAGTGCCACTATGGGTGCGCTATGGGGGAGGGGGGGCAGTGATGGGGATGGGGTGTCCCTGGAGGGATATATCGGGGGTGAGCCCTGCTTGTGCCCTCCCTGCACTCAGCTCTTCCCTCTCCCAGCCCTTCCAAAGAGCCTTTTGTGCTGCTGGGGTCTTTCCCCCCCCCCCCCCCCTCCCCCCTCCCTCCTTTTAATTCCTAACCAGGAGATTAAGGGAAGACAAAGGCTCCGATTGTTCCCCACTCTGAGGAGATCTGGAAAGTTCCAAGAGAGGGGAACCGTCTCTTTCAAGATGCACTGGTGAAAGGGGGGATGCATGGTCCAGATGGAGGGGTTTGACCCGGGGGGGAAACACCGGGGTGGCACCAGGGTTGGGTCCCATTGGATGGAAACCAATGCCATCGTGGACGGGATGCAGGCTGCCCCATGAGCGGGACCCTTCCCCTGGCCGTGGGGAACAGCTATGGGGGCACCCAGCCAGGGTGGGAGCACTGAGCCTCTCCCTGCAAGGAGGGAGAGGAGGAGCAGGAGATGGAAGAGGGGAAGAAGAAGGAGGAGGAGGAAGGTTGCGGACGGCTTGGCCGGCTCGCCCGGCTGCTTGGCGTTGTCGCTGCTAACTCTTGGCTGACACCTCAGTGACTTGGCAGGGAGATGCTCCAGCAGCCCCGTCAGCTGCCTGGGGCCGGAGCAGCTGGAAGGGATCACGGCTCAGCACCGCTCAGCCCATGGCAGCCAGCAGCCAGCGGGATGGGGCCATGGGTGCCCATGCCCCCTGACTGTCCCCATCGCACTTCGGCCCCATTGCTGCCCTATGGAAACCTGCATCCATGTGATGGGATGGGATGGAACACGGCAGGACGCCATCCAGGCGGGTCATTGCCCCGTGGACAGAGCCAGGGCAGCATCTCAGCCCGCCTAGGGGGGACAAAGCACAAAGGGAAGGAACCCGGCCACTTTCCCATGCTCACTGGGAGCAGCAAGACACCCACGAGCGCCCCGGCTCTGCTCCTTCTGTTTCCCGTTAAGATTATTTATTGGTAATTTTTAAGACCACTTACAGGCTCTGTTCATGTGCCAGGACCCTACACAGCCTTTTTTTCCCAGGGCTTTTTTTTTTTTTTTTTTTAATTTATTTATTAATTAAAAAAAAAAAAAAAGGATTGGTTTAATCATTTTCTTCCCACTCTTTCCTTCCCATCCCCTTTGGTTCTGCCACATGGCATGGTGCCCATTCTGCCCGTCCTCCCCACTGTCACACCACAATCCTGTCCCCTCCTTAAGCAGGGCTGAGCATCCCCAAAGAGTGACACTGGGGACACAGTGCCTCCAGCATCCCAGCACCAGGACAGGGAATCTTCCCCAGAAGGGCCTTCCAGCCCCCCCACCACTCCTCCTTCCGCAGACGGAAGCCCAAAGGGTTCCGATCCCCCTTTATTGCCCTCATTCCGCTTTGATCTCGCAGTATCTCTCCGTGCCCGTCCGGGGGCCGTGGGGCAGTCCTTGTGTCAGACAGGTTCTGCGACACATTGCTGCCTAATGAGAAATTTCCTCTCCCCGCGCTTCGCTGGTTTATTTTAGCACTGGTATCGCTACCCCACCTCTGCTTCTCGTAGGGCTGAGTCACGGGGCGCCTCCTGGCCCCACGTCCCCACTCTGCCACCCCTCTGCCACCTTCTCTTCTCCTGGGATGGCATCAGAAACCCGATGTCCCAGGGCCACCACGGCGTATGAATGGGTGCCCATTAGCAATACCCCAGGACAGGCCCCAATTCCCCGCTCCGTGCTCAGGGAACCGCAGCTCCAGGCTGCTGCTGGAGTTCAAAGGGACGGGAGAAACCCGCAGTTCCCCCTCTGCGTGAGGGTTTGGGCTCGGCTCCCCGCTCGCAGCCTGCCGATGCTCCGTGCCATTCCTGGCTTTCCTCACTAATGAGGCAGCGTGGGAAGCGGTGGGAGGTGTGGGACCCAAAATTGGGTCAGGATGTGGTATGGCAAGAGGGGCCCCCACCCTTGTCCTACATGGAGACCGTGGGGTCTTGTCTGCTCCTGGGGATCCCCAGCTGCCCCCTGCCCCTAACAGATTCCCGCTGCCCCCAAACCATTCCCCAAGAGCCCTACACCAGCTCTCAGAGGGCTCAGGCTCCATAGCCACAAGTGTATCTATCCTACTGTCCCCAGCGTCACCCAGGTGTGGGGCTGAGGCTGTGCCCCAGGAGGACAAAGCTGAAACCATGACCCAACCCGGATGTGGTGAGTCAGGCTGACTGAGGCAGCCTGAGCTGGAAAGCACTAGCCAGTACCATCCCCATCCCCATGTGTGTCCACATCCCTGTCCACACTGCTGTGCCCATCCCCATCCCTCTCTCAATCTCCATCCCCATTTCTGTCCCCATCTCCAGCTGAGCAGCAAGCAGTGGCCAATGGTCAGGGCACATCCCAGCCCCTGTGCCTGGGTGACTCCACCCCTTCTCTCACCCTACAGCTGCTACCGCTCACCCAGACCCCGTCCTCACCCAGCTTCTCCTGGGGCAGCAGTGGGGCCGGGGGCCCCCAGCCTTGCTGTGGATTTATGACACAGCCGTGCTCTGGTGTTCAGGGGCCAGGAGAGGCGACGGAGCCTTTATGGCTTTCCTACACCTTTCTGCCAGCGCCGTCTAAATGGCCTCATAAACCGCCCCCCGTTCCCACCCCCGTCAGGAGGAGGTGGTTTATTAGGGCTGTAACTCATCTGCTGGCATTTCATCAGCATCCTTTTAATCTGCACTTGGGTTTTTTTATTCCTGTTTAATGCCGGGAGCTGGATGTATTGTTAGGACCCTACGGAGCGGCTGGGGGCCAGGGCAGCCCCCTCCCCAGCATAGATCCGCAGTGCCATGCGAGGAAACCTTCCCAGCAAACACTGGGATTTCGGGTGCTAATCCTTTGTGTCAGCCTTTCCGCTTTCATCCCATTAACTCCCGCGCCCGGTGCCGCTGCCCTCGCGCTTCTCTGCGGCGGAGATAAGTCCCCGTGCTCGGCGCGGCGCATCCTCCCGGCCGCGGTGCTGCTGGCGGGCAGCTTCCATCCAATTACAGCAGGGTGAAGCTCATTTTAATTGCATGGAGCAGCCGGGATTAGGCAGACTTTATCTCCTAATTCCTTCTTTATCTCCTAACTTCACACTCTCCGCTCGCACCAGAGGCACGGTGGCTTGTGCCAGCGCTGGTGATTTTGGAAGAACGCATGCCCACTGCATATCGCCCCATTGCCTGGCTGACGTTAGCCCCAATGCCTCCCCAATGCCCCCAAATGCTCCTAAATGCCACCAAATGTCAGGGCAGGGGCAGGTGGGGATGTCTGCCCCACGGAATGGGGATGAGGCATTGACCACAGGCCCTTGGCTGCCACTTGGGGTGGTGCAGGACATCCCTGGGGTGGCACCCACTGCAGTCCCCAGCAACACCATGTGCCACTTGGAGCATCCAGGATGGGGACAGACACAACAAAGGGTCTTTTTCCCTTCCCACCCCACTAATCTTGGGTACCCAGCCGGCACTCAGGGGTCTCCATAAGGGAGGATGAAGGTGGCAGCAGTTTGGGCATCCAGTGACACCCACTTGTCTGTGCAGACATCCACCCTGACCCAAGGGAGCACTCGAGATAGCAGAAGAGCTGGGGGCAGTCCAGCAGGGGCTCTTAGGGCTGCCCGATAGCCCTCATCCCCATAGCT